CTCATTAGTGTTCAAGGCCTCAAACCTGTTCCTGAGATGATTCTGAAATTCTGGTGGGATGAAATTAAAGTCGTATTTTGGCTTCTGTGGATTCGGTTTAATTTTCCTCAGCTTCAGCCTGAACTTGCATATGAACTTGCATATGGTGGTCTATTCCACAGTCAGCTCCTGGCCTAGTTTTCACAGCTGATATTGAGCTTCTCCAGCGGTTTTTTCCCCCAGATGGAGTCTATCTGATGCCTATGCATACCATCAGGTGAAATCCATGTGTATAACCTGCGTTTATGTTATATAGTACTTTATGAAATTGTTGCCCTTAAGTGCTGCATAGTATTCCACTGTGTAAATGTACCATAATTTCCCAATCCATTTGCTTGTTGATGGATGTTTGGGTTGTTTCATTTTTTTTGCTATTGTGAATAAAGCTGCTGTGAACTTAAGTATCAGTTATCTTCCTTTGTGAAGCAACTTTCAATGTCTCTTGCCCATTTTGTGATTCTGTTATCAATCTTTTCCTTGTGGAGGCCCTGTAGTATACTATAAACTTTTATTTATAAACATTTTCAAGATGGTTTCAGACTGCAAATCCCATCATATTTTCTGAGAACTGTTGCTCCATATCCATTCTATTTTCAAAGACTTTCTAGTGCTGTTGGGATCTGCCCTGCCATTGTGTTTCTTCATTAGCAGTCTAGTAGTTGGTCTTCAGTTCTGATTAGAGTTATATTGATTTGTGTACAGATCAAGGGTAAGCTCACTATTCATAAACAACTTTATATGGTACATTTCTTGAGCTCCTTCTCCTCTGAGCTCTTGTATGGTTCTTGAGCTTCTTGAAAGTGACATAAATATTGTGAAATTATTGTATAATGTTAAGACTATTTTGAGTGTTTTCATCCAGCTGGCAGTATGTTCTTTTAAAATATTTATATTTTCATAAATGGAAATATACTTTAAATTCATAGTTTAAGGACCTTTGCAATGAATCCTTTAAAGAGTGATTTTATAAGTAATCACATTCTAGTTCACTTTTTAAAAAGATTAAAGTTTTAGATAGTTAAAAATAACTAAACTGTTAACAAATTCATTATAATTTGCTTCCTTTGTTTTAATATAATAAAATAGTTGAAGTTTGTATAGTAAACAGTCAATGTTGGTTATTCATAGGACTCACCAAGCTCTTCCTAGAGATTCAGTATTAGAAGATTTACGCTTACAAAATAAATACCTCCAAGACAAACTTCATGTTTTAGAAAAAGAATTGTCAAAGGATGCATATTCCAAGTCCTCAGTAAGTGTATACCAACTTTTCTATTTTTTTTTATAGTTGTTTCCTTTTTCTGTTTTGAAACTATAAAATTGAAAACAACTCTTCCTTTTATCTGGCCAAAACATTGCAGACATTTATTAATGCAAAAAAAGGCCATATTCTTTTATGAAGATTTATAGCCCCAGAACCTCAGTGGAGGATTGTATTGACTCACTTGCCATAAGTTTGTTTTCTCTTCTTTATAAGAGTAGCATTGAGAGTGTATACTTGTGTTGTCTGACAAAGAATAAAGTAAATACATGACTTAGTGGGTTTTGCAGAGTAATAATTGTGTCTACCATCTTCTTTTTCTTGCCCTTACATGTGGGCATCTGAAACACATTACTTCAATAAAATAGAATTGTGATATACATATGCATCATTTCTGCTAGTGTTCCCATATATGCCCTCAGGTCAAATCAAATGTCTATCCATAATGTCTTTATTTACTCTATTTCCCAATTTCTTTGGCTGCTTCAGTGGCTTAGTGGCAAGGAGATAAACTACCAATGCAAAAGTGTGCTCTTTGAATCCACCAGTTGCTTTGCAGACAAAATATGGGCAAGACAGTCTCCTGTAGTGCTGTTTACTGTCTCTGAAAACCCCAGGTGGGTCACCTATGAATTGGTTCCTCTTCCTAAGGCACACAATAACAGTTAATCTAAGAAGAAACAAAGACATCTCTGGTTTTTTACTTAAAACCAAATATTTCATAAAAACCACAGCATACTTTTTATAACCATATAAATTATTTATAATAGACATTTTATTACTATATGTGTTAAAATATTTTTATAATTTTCTATTTTAACAACTGCTAAGTCTGTGGAGTTATTGACACACTTTATCAAGCTACTTAAAGGAAAAAGGGACAAGGCAAAGAATCTAAATTTGTTCACAGACTTCATACAGTACTCAAAATAGTCCCATGAGGTAGGTGATATTCTTCCCTCTTTTTAGCAAAAAGTAATCAGGCTTCTTTTTCAGATAACTTATTGGTTGTAAGAAGTAAAAATATATATAAATAATAACCCAAGGTAGGGAGCTCTGGTGGCCTAGTGGAAAGAAGGTGCACTGCAATCCCAAAGGTGTGCAGTTTGAATCCACCAGATGCTCCTCTGGAGAAGGAGGGGCACTCTCCTCCTGTGCCAGCTGATCTGATTCCACAGCACACAAATAAAAGAAAAAATATGTAACTAAGGTGATTTCTTGTAAAAAAAAAAAGTATAAAAGTGTTGTTGTTCATTGTGTACCCTCGAGACAGGACCAACCCCTAGTTGACCCTATAATGGATTTTCAGAGGCCGTACATCACAGGAGGAGATTTCCCATCCTCCCAGAGTACCTAGCAGATTGGAACTGGTGCTTTTGGGATTGCTATGTAACTTCTTTCCACTAGGACACCAGAGATCCCTAAGAATACTGTATGTGACTGCTTTAATAAAAATGCGGTAAAGCATTCTAGAGGAGGAACATATTGAGGCAGTTCTTTTTGATGGTTGATTATTATGTTTTCCTTTTGACTGGCAAAATTGCCATAAATTATTAGTATAGATATATGAAAGTATATATGTTGTTATTGTATTGCTTTGAGTCAAACCTGACCTATAGCAAACCATCCAGCAGGTTTTCAGAAACAGTTAAATCTCATAGGAGGAGATTGCCCATCCTTCTGCAGAGCAACTGGCTGCTTCTTACTACTAGGCCATCAGAGCTCCAAAACATGTGTAGAGGCTTTATATGTATTTGAAATAACTTTCTTTGCTGTTGAGTCAGAACTTACTCTCCAGTGGAAACCTAGGCAGGAAATTGCATGGAAAGAGATTGCCCATCCTTTTCCTGTGGAGCCACTGATGTATTCAGACCACCAGATAGGTTAGCTGTGCATCTCCCTCAGACCAAGCCACCAGAATGGTTTATTCCATCATACTAGAGTTTGTTTTCTATTTTAATTAAAACATACTACCTACCTTTACCCCTGAAAATTTTACATCCCAGCTTCTTTTTATTTACTAAGTTTATTTTATTGAGTTATTTTTCTCTAGAGCTCTCAATTTTCTCGTTTTCCTTTAAGGAAAAAGGTGTTCCTTTGCCATGAAACCAAAAGAATTAAAAGGTTCCTTAATATCATTACTGAAAATTTGATAAAATAACTTATGGAGGAATCTTTGATTAATAGTGGAAAAATACAGAATGGAATTTCAGGTTCTTACGGAATTTTAGTTTTTTTGGTACCATAGAAAGTGGATTAACCTGTTTAACTTTTATTTTCTTTATGCCTTAAACCTTACAACATCTATAGAAACCATAATATAGTTTAATATGCCTTGAATTAAGACCTGTGTATATAGATTTGAATTGCCAACAGCAGCCCTAAAAGGTAGACAAGAAACTTAAGAAACAGAGAATTTTTGTTAGGATAGGAGGAACAACTTGGAAAAGGAGGATTAGAAGGGTTGAACCGTTTTAATGTGATCAGGTAAGTTGTACATATTACTGATCAGTACTGTCAAGTTAAGTCTGATTCATAGGAACTTTTTGTACAACAGAAAGAAGCACTGCCTGGTAATGTTTTCAGTAGCCAAGTTTTTATTGTTTTGGATTTTTTTAAAGAAGCAGATTAACACGTCTGTCTTCCTAAGCTATCTTAAGCTCAAAAAACTCAATTGAAACCTGTTTGCAATTAACAGCCGTACTTAGATTTTAAATATTGTGTGTATAGAGTATCACAACAACATGCAGACCACAATAAATTATACAGATAGTGGTCAGATTTGTTCATGAGAAATTATTTAAAGGATGTATGTTCAGCTGTGTATATTTTCAACAACAAAAGTAGTATTTTTAAGCATCCATTTTATATAGTGTTTTCTTTTTCCATTTTTTTATTCTTTTTTGTGCATGTACTGTCAAATCAGATCTGACTGGTGCAGGAGGATATTGCTCCTTCTTCTCCGGCAGAGCATATGGTGGATTCAAACCGTGTACCTCTGGGATTGCAGTGCAGCTTGGAATAGTGTTTTGTCATCTACTAGTTATGTGGCCTTTATGCTTTGGTGGCCTGGCAGATTGGAAGTTGTGCTGCCAACCCAAAGGCAGAGAAGGACAGTCTTCTTCCATGCAGTGGACAGTTTCTGAAAACTTGTTGAGTCAATTCTGACTTCATAGCAGTGAATTTGAGTTTTGAATTTTTACTTATTAAAAATATTTTTAACTTTATTTTCCTGAAGACTTCAGGAACTGGGTCTGAAGATCGTTTTCAGAAAGAACAAGAGCTTCAAAGGGAAAACTTGAAGTTGTCATCTGAAAATATTGAACTAAAGTTTCAGCTTGAACAAGCAAATAAAGATTTGCCAAGATTAAAGGTAAATTTCATGTATATGGTTAGAAAAGTCTAATGCCTAAATATAATTTTCCTCTAATTTATAATTTTATATTATGAAGGAAGAAGTTAGAATATCAGTTTGCGTAAGATATTTCAGTGGGATGAGTTATTTTAATTACGTATTTTCTTTACCCTTTAGAATCAAGTAAGAGATTTGAAGGAAATGTGTGAATTTCTTAAGAAAGAAAAAACAGAAGTTGAACGGAAACTTGGTCAGGTTAGAGGGGTGAGTGTGTGTAAATATTCTGTTTGTTTTGGTTTCAGAAATGATCACCTAGAAATTAAAGAAAAGGTTGAGATAACTCATTGCTGCTGTTACGAGTGTCTCTGGGATCTTCTGCTTTGTAGTGAAAAATAATTTATTTTATCATATGTTACATATTCTATGCTTTTTCTTTTACTTGACTCCCTATCATCTCTTTTTCCCACTACATATCTTTCCACACCCTAAAAACATTTACTTTCTATGAATCTTGTGTTAGGTAACTAATAACTAGTAATTGACCCAGTTCTAACATTTTGTAATATGTTTTTATTATATTCATTTCAGCTTCTTGATCTATTGCTCTGTAAATCTGTTTTTCAGTTTATTTTTAGTCCTTTCTTCTTCTGCTCATCTGATTTTGTGTTACCTTAAAATAATTAAGAAAGGCTGTTGATGAGACCAGTGCCAAAAATTTAAACCTCTATAAACCTTTACATGTCTTGGCTCATAGATTCACCTTTTCATGGCAATTGGTACAAGGAGTGGTAGTAACATGAGGAAAACTGGTATCTACCCACTTCATAAAGGGGACTGTCCCCTCAATAATATAGTTAGTACTAAACAAATAGCTGTCAGACATGATACTCCATAAGCTCCTGCACTTATTTTTACCAATCATTGGGTTCAATAATGAATTTATTGGTAAAAATAATTGGGGGGGGGAAGAAGTCCAGGCTGGGTTTAGAAGGGGTTGTGATACTAGGGATATTGTAGCTAATGTTAGATGGATCCTAGCTGAAAGCAGGGAATACCAGAGGAATGTCTATCTGTGTTTCATTGACTATGCAAAAGCGTTTGACTATGTGTATCATAACAAACTGTGGCTGACTCTGAGAAGAATGGGAATCCCAGAACACTTGACCATTCTAATGCGAAACCTATACTTGGACCAGGAGGCAGTCATCAGAACGGAGCAAGGGAACACTGCATGGTTAAAAATTGGGAAGGGCGTATGCCAGGGATGTGTCCTGTCTCCATACCTTTTCAACCTGTATGCAGAACAGATTATCTGGGAGGCTGGGCTCTATGAGGAGAAATGTGGGGTCAAGATGGGTGGAAGATCTATCAATAATCTGTGATATGCAGATGATACAACCCTGCTTGCTGAAACTGAGGAGGACCTGAAGTGCTTGCTGCAGAGGGTCAAGGACTGCAGCCTCCAATATGGATTGAGAGGCTCAATATCAGGAAGACAGATTCTCACCTCTGGGCCCATTAGCAGCATCAGGATGGATGGTGAAGAGATTGAGATTGTTGACAGCTTTAGTTTGCTTGGCTCCACAGTCAACATTCTCAGCACCAGCAGCCAGAAAATTAGAAGGCGTATTGCCATGGGAAAGTCTGCTATTAGGTACCTCTCCAAAGTACTGAAGAGCAATGGTGTCTCTCTGGAGACTAAGGTGCGTCTGATACAGGCCATGGTCTTTGCTGTTACTTGTTATGCATCAGGTATTTGGACAATGACTAAGGAGTCTGGAGGAGAATTGATGTCTTTGAGCTGTGGTGCTGGAGAAGAGTATTGAGGGTACCATGGACTGCTAGGAAAACAAACACATTCATCCTGGAAAGGGTCAAACCGGGCTGCTCCTTGGAGGCAAGTATTCTAAGGCTCTGTCTAGCATACTTTGGACATGTTGCAAGGAGGGACAGGTCCTTGGAGAGGGAAATCATGCTTGGTAGGGCAGAGGTACAGTGCAGAAGGGAAAGGCCTCTTATGTGGTGGATTGATTAAGTGATTGGGGTAATCGGGATGGGTGTATCAGAGATGGTGTGATTGGCACAGGACAGAGCAGAATTTAGGACTGTTGTACATAGGGTCGCTATGAGTCACAAGCAACTCAGCGGCACATAACAACAACAACATTGGGTTCAATGTTCATTGCAACTTGACTGACAGATTTTACTCTCAGTTGTAGGGTTTATTAGAGAAATAGGTTGTAGAGTGGAGGAGTCAGACTGTTACATAGTGCAAGTTCAGGTTTAGTCTAGCTGTCCCAAAACAGATTAACAAGGCACAGTTCCTCAATTAATGAAAATCGGTTTGTCAGAAAACCTCTGGTTTTCTCAGTCATGCAGCAAACTTTATGTTAAGCAGTTAAAAGTTAGTTTTTCCTTTAGTCATCCAGCAGGGAAAACTTTAAACTGTGGCGCCATCTTCAGAAAACTTTTAACTGTGGCTCTGATTACACTTTGCCAGTCTTTTCATAGTCTCTTCACAGCAGTACCACAGTCTTCACCCTTTCACCACCACTGTCTTTCACAGTGTGGAAAGCATTCTCTTGCATGGGTCCCACAGCTATTGATGATTTCCATGACTCTGTGTCCACATTTAAGGTAGGTTGAGATCATGTCCTCATCGAGGGCTAATGCAATGGATAGAAAAGCCAATTTTCAAGGTTCCTGACACTACAGACTACTCCCTGGCTATTCTAGCCATTATCTTTCATTATATGAAGAATCAACCTTCCCTTTACCATCTGTATTCATGGAAATACGTAATACAGCTGCTTCATTTGTTATGTCTTAATCTCCCCATTTCAGTTAGTCTATTTCTGATTTGCCCAATCCTATCAAACAATATTCTGAAGAAACAAGGCATGTCTTTTTCTTTGAAGAGCCTTTTGTTACAGTTGAAACTTGGAACATTCACATCTGTAAATAAAGGTTCTTTCTGGTGTAAATCATCACTTAATAGTAATCAACACTAGCTTCCAGCTTGAACCATCTTCTCTTTATCTTATTGGGTTCTGGTTTGCATCCCCAGCCATCTGTGGCTAGACATATTGGACATCAGCTGCAAACTCAGGAGTCCACACTTCTTCCTGTGTTTTAGACTAACCAGTCCCTTCTCTCTTAGCGCAGCAGGGATCCTCAAGACTCCTGCTTCACAAACCAGCAACCCTTCTTCACATATCCATTCACCAGGTAGACTCAGATGGTCACCATGAGTTAAGCATATTCATCAGCTTCTTTTAACAACAATCCCTAGAGAGGGGGTTCTAATGGGAATCAGCTTTACGTTGCCTCAGTTCATTGGCAAAGTGTCTCCTTTTCTACTTGTCTTCATTCAGATGTAACTCTCTTCAGAGTACTGGGTGGGGCTGAATCTTTCTTAGGCTAAGCTCCACACTCTGTACCAAATTCTATTGTTTTCTATAAGCATTGTTATAGGGCAAATGTTCCCTTTTTGACCATCCAGTTAATATCCAAGTGGCTTATATTTTTCCTCTAAGTTCCTCTAATATGTCCCATCATTTTAACATCCAGTATTCATCAATATTGCTACATAGAAGAATAAATCAATATCTACAAAGTATATCATATTTTCTGCAATCTGAGGTTTACATATCAATGTAATGAAACCCAGTATAGTTAAATCAACAAAAACCTTAATCATGTTTACAATATATCTTAACATTACATAGCCTTCATATTCATTTTTACAATATATCTCAACATTATAACATATGAAGAAAAAGAATTTGTACATAGATTTTTAAAGAACTTCTCTATTTCATCTTTATTCTCTACTTTTTAAATCTCAGGCCACAAAAGTATCTTCTCAACTTTTGTTTCCACGTTAGGGGCAGCAAAAATAACCTTTTGGGTTTTCTGTCCCACTTTGTAGAAACAAATAATAACCATTTTAACTGTATATCTTCCCAACCCCCAACTGTACAAAATCAGGCCATCTTTCTATGAGTCTGGGGCAACAAATCTCACCACTTCTGACACCAGAAGTATAAGGAGCAGTGTTAACATGAGGAAAGCTGAGTCTGTCTTCTACTTGCTTCATAAAGGGAAGCAAGTCTTCATCAGTAATACCATAGTACAACACAAATAGCTACATTATCAGACATGCCACCCTACATGCTTCTGTACCTGTTTCTACCAATTATTAGTTCCAAAATTTGTTGCAACTTGATTCACATACTTAGAGTTATGTGGTTTATTAGAGAAATAGTTTGGGGAGTGGGAGACACAAAAAATATCACACAATGGAAGTTCAGGTTTTGTCCAGCAGTCTCAAGTCAGATTAGCAAGGCTTAATTTCTCAATTACTGAAAGTCTAGGTTTAGTTTAGTTTAGTAGCCCATATGCACCTCTGGTTTCTTCGGTCATCCAGCAGACTTTATCTCAGAGCAGTTACAAGCCATCTTTACCTTCAGTCATCCAGCAAGCAAAACCTTAACTGTGGCTCCATCTTCAGGGTTCCTCTGATTACACCTTGCCATAGTTTCTTTGCAGTCTCACAGTCTCTTCACCCTCTCACCACCACTATTTTCAACAGTGTAAAAAGTGCTCTCTTACATTGGTCCCATAGCTGTTTATGACTAGCAAGCCCATGTGTCCGCAGTTAAGGTACCTTGAGGCCATGCCTTTACTGAGGACTATAAGACAATGGATGAAAAATCAATTTTCAAGGTTTATAACACCACACCATCCTTCTTCCTGTAGGTCTTTCTTTGCCTGACTTCTTATTTTAAGGACAACAGTCCTTGAATTAAGACACCGTGGTGTGATTTCATGTTAACCATTAAGATCTTCAGAACTCCAGAGTTATTATACGTGTGTTTCTTGTGTTGTCCCACCCAGTCAGAATTAACTCAAAGCTGACCCTCTAGCAGGTTTTCAGAGGCTATACGAGGAGATTGTCCATCTTTCTCCTACAGAGAAGCTAGTGGTTTCAAACCACTTGACCTTTGCCTTGGAGTGCAGTAAGTATGAGGATGTTATATTTTTGCAGGATACAACTCAATGCAGAATTTTCCCCCCCCAACACTTGGAATTTAATAGGTTATTAAAAAAGCCCTCTCTTTTGTGTGTTTTTTCCATATTTAGAAAGCTCTAATACACTAGAAAAAATACTGACTAAATAGAAACTTTAGGTCCTGAAGTCCATTTTAATCACACTTCAAGGTACACTTTTGTTTTCTGTAATTTCTTATTAGTTGCATGGTTATAGAATATTGTATTCTCAGAGTTTTTATTTTCTTATGTATAAAGATTAGCAATTCTGTGTCAAGAGATGATTTACTAAAAGCAAGAACCCACTGCCCCCAAGTCAGTTCACCTCACAGTAACCCTCTATTAGGTTTCCAGTTTCCAAAACTGTAAATTGTTGTGGAGATAGACTGCCCATGTTCTCCCATGAAGCCACTGGTAGATTTCAACTTCAGATGATAGCTAGCTGTTGATAACCCTTGCCTTAAAATGTTAGACATCAATTAGTAATGAACTCATTTTATTATGGCTATACTGTACTCTCTAAAATATATGGATAACTTTAAAAATTAATATACTCTTTTGTATAGTCTGGCAGAAGTGGAAAGACAATCCCAGAATTAGAAAAAACCATTGGTTTAATGAAAAAAGTGGTCGAAAAAGTCCAAAGAGAAAATGAGCAGTTGAAGAAAGCATCAGGAATACTGACCAGTGAGAAAATGGCTAATATTGAGCAGCAAAATGAAAAGTTGAAGGTATTATTATTAATTTGATAATTTTTATATAGGAATTTTTTTCTATTATAATTTTATTAGCTTTTGAAAATTTTAAGTATGCCCATACAGTGGGAGTATAAATTGACTTTAATAAATACAGTAGATGTTTCATAAATATAGGAAAACTTTGTGGAAACAAGTATAGTAATCTTTATTTTGTCCTAATTCTGACAGCATAAAATAATGATTATGATGCTTTTGTTAAAAAGCACTACTATGTAAGCTTCAGCCTTAAGATAAATTATTTTAGGGTGGAACCAGGCTTTACCTCAACTCATTGCCATCCATTCAGCACTAATAGTTGACCCTTTAGCATGTTCTGGTTGCTATAAACAGCACTAGAGGATTGCCCATCTTTCTAGATGAGCCTATAGTCGATTTGGACTGTCAGAGAGGCTCTTTGGGTTAGCAGCACAACTCCTTACAAACTAGGCCACCACAGTTCTTTTTAAAATTAATAGGTTGTTCAAGTATGTACTTCAAATTTAAATCCTTTGATATAATATTCATTGTCTAAGTGAAGTTTTATTAAATTCTAATCATGATAAATAAAATCTCTAAAACAGTTAATTTATGAGTTTACAGGATCATGGATTTTCCCCCCTCCTCATCTGGTAATTTTTTTTTCTTTAAATGACTCAGGCTGAACAGGAAAAACTTAAAGCTCATCTTGGACGTCAGCTGAGCATACAGTATGAATCCAGGGCCAAAGGCACAGAGAAAATTGTTGCTGAAAATGAAAGGCTCCGAAAAGAACTTAAAAAAGTATAAATTTCATTACCTTTTATATTTTATATTCACCAAATAAGTGTCTACCGAAAGTAGATTACTACATTCAAGAATTATTTTTATGTCTACCCCCAATGCATTTTTTTCACTATAAGGACATTGATAACCGTTTAAAAAATAATTACATGTAGTTTAATTTAGACACTAAAGAGCCTGAGTTCAAATCCTAGGTCTATTACTTACTGGCTGTGAGAATTAGGGGAAGTTGCTCTGTTTCAGTTATCTTACCTGTGAAATGGGATATAATGATTATACATACCTTACATAGCTTCTGAGGGGTTAAACGAGTTCATATTTGTGCATGTGACATAGCATAGTGGTGAAGAACATGTAAAAATGTTTTATTAAACAGCCAGACTAATTTAAATTGAAAAATAGATTTATGAAACCATAGCAATATTGTATATTGAATGTAAATGTTTAATAGTGGAAACAATCTCTTTTACTTGTATATAGTTTATGCTTATGACTATGTTTCAAGTATTAAAAAGTCAAAAGGAAACATCTTTTAAATGTGTGAAGACAGAATAATAGCTTATTTGTTCTAAAAACATTTCAGTGAAAGAAAAGTGATGAATATAGATTAAAGTATGCACTTGAGTGAAAAGCTTGTAAATGTATTTTTCCAGCCTTATTTACATGATATTCTCTTGAAATATTATGAACATAATGCTCAATGAAAGAAACATTGCATTTTTATTGACATTTTAATCATTATTTTGAATTCCCAGGGTTTTTTTTTTTCAAATTTATAATACTGGTATGTATAATATTACATCTTTGGGAACAATATTACATTATGTCATAATATACTAATTAGTTTTTAATGATAGGAAACTGAAGCTGCTGAGAAATTACGGATAGCCAAGAATAATTTAGAGATATTAAATGAAAAGATAACAGTTCAACTAGAAGAGACTGGTAAAAGGTTACAGTTTGCGGAAAGTCGAGGCCCACAGCTTGAAGGTGCTGATGGAAAAAGCTGGAAATCAATTGTTGTTACAAGGTAGGAATATATCATTTAATACGTGTATAGATTTTAATCATTTCTACTTCAGGGATCTTTGTTTTGAAAGAATATTATCTAATTTAGTTCTTCTTAGAGAAAAGCTTAAGATTTTTCTTTTTCCTGACCTCTTGTTGTTGTGTAACATGAAATTGGAACTGTCCCATAGCTGCTCCTCCAGAGGATTTCCAGGGGCAATAAGTCAACTGCTATTTTATCTCCTTTGTTAATCAATCATTGGCTATTCTTCTCCTGCAAAGCAGCCAGTGGATTCATAACATGTGTCTTTGGGATTGGAGTGAAGCTTCTTAACACTGGGCCAGAGCTAGCTAGCATTGCTTAAAGACCTTTATTCCTGAAAATTTGTAATTGGGGTGGGAGGGCGTGGAAGAACAGAGCCCTCAGATAAGAGGATTAAAGCTAAGTGGGCATTATGAAGCTACATTGTGTCATCTTCATTCCTAGGATGATAGTGTCCTACTTTTCTTCATCTACAACCTCAACTTCTTAATTCTGTTAGTTTTTACCTCAAGTAGAAATGAGATGTATTAACCAGGAATTGTAAACTGTCCTCTCACAATCTGTGGTACACTTGGGTGTGTTCTGAGCCTTGCTAGAGGACTTCTGGAGTTACATCTTAAATTAGTCATGTTAGTTGAGTTGAGAATAGTACATCTACTCATTTTTGTTGTTGGTATGTTCCGTCAAGTCGCTTGCGACTCATAGCGACCCAATGTACAGCAGCCCTAAACTCTGCTCTGTCCTGTGCCAATTGCACTGTCTCCGATAACCCCATCCCGATTACGCCAGTCATTCAATCAATCCACCTCATAGAGGGCCTTCCCCTCCTGCGCTGTCCTTCCACCCTCCCAGGCATGATGTCCTTCTCCAAGGACCAGTCTCTCCTTACAGCATGTCCAAAGTATGTTAGACGGAGCCTCAGAATCCTTGCCTGCAAGGAGCCACCCAGTTTGACCCTTTCCAGGATGAATCTGTTTGTTTTCCTAGCATTCCATGGTACCCTCAATACTCTTCTCCAGCACCACAGCTCAAAGACATCAATTCTCCTTCTATCCTCCTTAGTCATTGTCCAAATATCTGATGCATAACAAGTGACAGCAAAGACCATGGCCTGTATCAGATGCACCTTAGTCTCCAGAGAGACACCATTGCTCTTCAGTACTTTGGAGAGGTACCTAATAGCAGACTTTCCCATGGCAATACGTCTTCTGATTTTGTGGCTGCTGGTGCCGAGAGTGTTGACTGTGGAGCCAAGCAAACTAAAGCTGTCAACAATCTCAATCTCTTCACCATCCATCCTGATGCTGCCAGTAGGCCCAGTGGTGAGAATCTTTGTCTTCTTGATATTGAGCCTCTCAATCCATATTGGAGGCTGCAGTCCTTGACCCTCTGCAGCAAGCGCTTTAGGTCCTCTTTAGTTTCAGCAAGTAGGGTTGTGTCATCTGTATAACGCAGATTGTTGGTAGATCTTCCACCCATCTTGACTCCACATTTCTCCTCATAGAGACCAGCCTCCCAGACATTCTGTTCTGCGTACAGGTTGAAAAGGTATGGAGACAGGACACATCCCTGGCGTACACCCTTCCCAATTTTTAACCATGCAGCATTCCCTTGCTCTGTTTTGATGACTGCCTCTTGGTCCAAGTATAGGTTTCGCATTAGAAAGATCAAGTGTTCTGGGATTCCCATTCTTCTCAGAGTTAGCCACAGTTTGTTATGATCCACACAGTCAAACACTTTTGCATAGTCAATGAAACACAGATAGACATTCCTCTGGTATTCCCTGCTTTCAGCTAAGATCCATCTAATATCAGCTACAATATCCCGAGTACCACGACCCCTTCTAAACCCAGCCTGGACCGCAGTTCTCTGCTGATGTGCTGTTCCAGTCATTTTTGGATAATCTTCAGTAGAATCTTGCTTGCATGTGAAATCAATGAGATTGTTATATTGTTTCCACACTCTGTTGGGTCACCTTTCTTTGGGATGGAAACAAATATAGATCTCTTCCAGTCAGTGGCCAAGTGGTTGTTCTCCAGATTTCTTGGCACAACTTGGTGAGTACGTCCAGGATAGCATCTGTTAGCTGAAATATGTTAATTGGTTTACCATCTATTCCTGGCGTCTTATTTTTTGCTATTTCCTTCAAAGCCACTTGAACTTCTTCTTTCATCACTATAGGCTCTTGTTCATATGTTGTTTCATGAAATTCTTCTGTGTCTGCCCATTCCTTTTGATACAGTGACTCAGTATATTCTTTCCATCTTCTTTTAATCCTTCCTGGATCATTTAATATTCGGCCGAAACCATTCTTGATTATAGCAACTCAAGGTTTGAATTTGTTCTTCAGTTCCTTGAACTTAAGAAATGCTGAGCGAGTTCGACCCTTTTGATTTTCTGACTCCAACTCCTTGCACATTTCATTGTAATATTTTACTTTGTCATCCCGTGCTGCCTTTTGAAATCTTCTATTCAATTCTTTAGTATCTTGAATTCTTCCTTGTGCTTTGGCTTCTCTGCGCTCCAGTGCAATTTTCAGAGTCTCTTCTGACATCCATTTTGGTCTTCGCTTCCTCTTTTGTCTTTGCAATGACCGTTTGCACGCTTCCTGGATGATACCCTTGATATTTTCCCACAACTCATCAGATCTTCGCTCATTGGTGTTCAAGGCCTCAAACCTGTTCCTGAGATGGTTTTGAAATTCAGGTGGGGTAGACTGAAAATCATATTTTGGTTCCTGTGGATTTGGTTTCATTTTCTTCAACTTCAGCTTGAACTTGCATATGAGTAGTTGGTGGTCTGTTCCACAATCAGCTCCTGGCCTAGTTTTCACAGCTGATACTGAGTTTCTTCAGCGTTTCTTTCCACAGATGTAATCGATCTGATTCCTATGCATACAAATCCGTGCATTTATGTCTCTTAAAAAACATATTTCCTATGAATACGTCATTGATTGTGCAAAATTCAATCATTCTCTCTCCAGCTCCATTTCTGTCACTGAGTCCATGTTTTCCAACTACTGATTCTTCTTCTCTTCCCAATTTTTGCATTCCAGTCACCAATTATTATCAAAGCATCTTGATTGTATGTTCGATCGATCTCTGATTGTAAAAGTTGGTAAAAATCTTCTGTATCCTCTTCCTTGGCTCTGGTTGTTGGTGCATATATCTGAATGAGTGGTATTCTCTAGACTCATTACTTAACAAATATTTTGTTAGCTAACATTTCATATTTTGACTGCTTTGCAAAAATTTCCCAAGTGTTACCTGTGATGATCCAGACCCCAGGAGGGGCTACTACTGGACCCAAGCCATACTCCACAGCATACTCTAAATGATATACAAAAGGCCCAGGATGACCAATCCATATGAGGGACCACAGAACACCTTCTACTGTCTATCTGCAAGATCTTGGTCTAGCCATAGTGAATGCAGGTTGGTAATGGGATATTGAAAAGTTTCTGGAAGGTAAGAGGAGCAAGACAAGGACAAGGGAACACTGAGGGAGTCAAGGGTAGAGAGGAGAGAAAAAGAGAATGCACAAGTGTATGGTACAAGAAAGAGGACAAGAGGGATTCTCTTCCCCAGAATGGGTCACAGGAAGTAGTGGGCAAAGAACATGTGGTGTCTCAACTCAGTGTGGGTTCTGAGAAGCAGCAGATAATACCTCACCACCACCAGCAGCAGCCCTAACCCCTGCAGGGCTCTGTGGTAGTAGGTAAGGCATGGTGGAGAAGCAGGACCTGAAAAGCATGAGCATCTCAAGATGAGTGGAGTTTTGCAACATGCATTGAGCAACTGGGATGGTAAGGACATTGGTGCTGAAGATAGGACATGGCCCACACTCATATAATGCTAATTTTGCCCAACAACTTGGTCTGTAGAACCTCATTATGTAAGTAAGAAAAGAGTATTAGCGATTTCTATATTAGTGGCCTACCAGCCTCTGTTTTCTAGTAAATTTTTGTGCTTAATGAGGATTCCTACCTTTGAAACTGAAATCTCTCTCTCTCTCTGAAAGAGGTGAAAGATTGTAAGATGTGTTTTTGACCATCATTATCATCATGGTAATGGTAGTTATGATCAGTGAATTGGTAAGAAACTCTGTTGTCACTAATTTCCAACTTTAAGACTTTATATTTATCATCTGTAAGCTAGAGATCAGTGGCATCCTGGCTATGTGCTTCCCAGTTAAAGTCATTCTGTATATTGTATTGTTTGCCCTCTGGTACATTTATTATCTTCCATACCAAAGACATCTCATTTCTACCATAATATATTCATAGAACTCTTTATGCCCATGTGTTTTTATTTTTTACTTTATTGTCTTTGAGGACTCCCTCTGGACACTTCCTTTTAGAAGTGTACTTATTGGAGGATAGGATGACAAACACCATTACTGTAACTGGGATGAGTGCCTTGACACTTTGAGGATACAGTAGCTTCCACAGTGGGCAAGTTCTGTACTTAACTGCTGCCAGCCAAGCCTGAGGAGAAAAGAGAAAATTAAGGAAGCAGACCAGAAAACTGCTAAGGTGGTGTAAAAAGAGCAGGAGTCATGTGGGAAGCACTATGTCTGACATTTACCAATTTTACAGGGGAGAACCACCCCCCGATCCACAGCATTAATAACACATAACCAATTCCTATGAGATCAGACATATTTCCCACACTTCCATGCATATTCCTACTCATCTCAACACCATCTCTCTATTTGCTGAGTAAAAAATCTGATGTGACAACTCACATACCACCCAAAACCATATTGGGGACGTAAAACGGTTATAACCCAGATTAATAACAAAATACAGTCAAGATAGCTATAGAAATGTGCACGTAGGCATCTTACGCCTTGTGGCTCTAAGTGTTCTCAAGTTCTCAGTCCTGCCAGTACTGACTTTCCTACATTCCCTAACCTCAGAGTGTCATTTCTTCTCACATCATGTCTCCAGTTTGACCATGACTGCTGCTGCTGTCTTG